CTCCTTAAGTTTATGTTTGCCCTGTGAACAGCGAGAAGGTCGGTGTTTTACCGTGTTTTACATGGATCGTAAAAAAGCGTGTCTTCAGTCCATACCGGTTATTTGCGGTAGGAAAACGATGAAACGATGAATCTAACTGGAAAATCTAACTGATAATGGAATGTTTAATATCGTTAACGTAGTCAACACTCGATCTTCGTTTCTTTGTATTTCTTGTCGGAATGTTTGTCAAGGGGTCGTTTAATTTTTTATATCTTCCATGAAAGATCGATTGGGGAGAGGGAGGGAGAGTGTATCTCGTGAAAATTGAGAATGATTTATTGTATAGAATGTATCGATAGTGAAATTGCGTTATCTTGTTGAAATTGGAGGTTGGTCTTTTAGAAATATGAAATGGTTAAATGTTGATAACATGAAAGAAAATGTATGTTATGTATTATGATATTTATTAATCTATAAGAATTAATGTGAACAAACTTTCTTGTTGAAAGATTTTAATATTAAATATTAATCGAACAAAGAAAAAAAATCTAGAATAATTATGAAGAAAAATTGAAAATATGGGGTTAAAAAACTCGAAAAAAGAAACATAAGGAAAGAAATTAAAAAGAAAAATAAATCTGTATCTTTTTGATAAAAGATTTTAATATTAATATTAATATAAATTTAATATTAATTAATTAAATGATGAAAAAATATTTAAAATAATTAATTAGTTAATATAAAGTGTTAAAAAGAAAATATTAAAAATATTCGAAAAAAAAAGATATAATCAAGAAATATGGAGTGAAAAAATTCAAAGAATAAAAAATTCAAAAGATGAAAAAATGAATTTATTATTAGCTTTTATTATTAAATTCATTATTTTATATTTTAGATATATTTTATAAAACGAAAGTAATAAAAAAGAATAATGAACTTAAATCATATTTCTTTTATTTTTTAATTTTATCTATTTTTTTCAGAAACTGTAGTATCTCGCAACCGAGACATTCTCAATTTATACCATAAGTATAAAACCAAGAAATTTATATTTCTATACCTATTTGTTAAGAAAGTTTTTTTGTCAGTGTCAAAGGTCGAATTCTAATGGTCATAGTATCACTATAATTGGTTTGTTTAGCATTCGATTGAGCAACTCATGTTTCGTATATAGGTATGCATATATATATATATATACGTATCTAATACGTATACGTATGTATACACAATATATAGTATATAGTATATGCATTGTATATGATCCATATAGGATGAATTTGAAACCTTGTTAGGAAATTTACAAATACGGTTGCAAATCAAAATTTCATAAATATAGATTTTTCTTTCAGAAGAGAAAAAATTCTTTATTTTCGTTCCTTTTGTTACGTCTATTTATATTTTAAAATTTAAAAATTTGTAAATATTTGTCTATCAAAATTCTTTTAGCATAATAAAATAGTATTATTAAGAAAATTTTTATCAGTGTTAATTCTTTTTATAATAATATTAAAATAACCAAAATTCTAGTGAATTTTAAGGAATATAAGTCAATTGATTTTGTTCTTCAATGTAAAATTAAAGGATTCCCAACGAAAATAACCTTTGTCAAGAATTTTTATTTTTCTCTTAAAAAGATAGAAAAATATTCTTTTGTTAAAATTACAAAATTACTTCAGATTATTACAAAATTGAGAGAGTAAGTGAAAAACAGACGTTTTCATAAATTTAAAAGAAAGTAAATCAAGAAAAATTTTATTTTTATAGGAAAAACTGTACAAAATCATATTTTTTTTTAGTATTTTTTTTGAGTACAATACAATTCAATTGTGTAAATCATTGTAGAAACATTGTAGAATGAACAAATAAAAATGGAATGAAATAATAGTAAAAAAAAAAAATGAAATTGATACACGTATCCTCAATTCTTTGAAATTTTAATATAACAGCAAAACACTAAAAAGTTTAGAATTGAACAAATAAAACAATGTTTAAAAAAGACAAAATTGATATTCACATGATTGATACGTATCTCTCAATTTTTCAAAATATAACAAAATTATTTCTATACAAAGTTATGAAACTTAATCACACGTAACGAAATTTATTCGTTATCGTTGTCATTTTCATGGCAAATCTTTCAATTAAAAAACTTCAACCAACGAAAGTCCATATCTTTCAATTCACTAATATCATTTATCACACAATCACGAGATAATTACCAATAATACGATATCAATCGATATCAAAATTTCGCTTCGAAATTTCCTGACAACATTCCAAATGAGCATCAAGGAGCAAGAATAAAATGTCCTTTCATAATTCCTCCCTCGATTTCGTTTATAATCGAGCAGGCCCGAGCACAGTGACAGGTCTCTGGTAAACCGCGTGGGCGAGTCGTACATCGGAAAATCCTTTTCTACGCCCACGCCGTGGTGATTGTACACACAACGGAGAAGGAAAAAAAGAGAGATTCAAGGAATAGAAAAAAGGGTCGGAGGAGAGAAGACGATAGATCATGGTATCCCAATTAATCAAACGTTCTGGGAAAACGAAATAAGGAAACGGTCAGGTATCGCATCAAATTAAAATCTATCTCGTTGGGCACCGATTTACCCTTTGTCCATCATCTTTTTTTTTTTTTTTTTTTTTTTTTTTTTTTTTTACGAAAAGGCAATCGTGAACCGTAGAGGAAAAAGAGAAATCAAGGAGAGATCGAGATTCGTCGAGAGGAAAAATTTAACAAAAATATCCGTCGTGTTGGGTGTGCAAATATTTATACAGAGAGGTGATTTCGTGCCGTAGTATGTACGTTCAGTCTGCGTGCTAACGAGAGTGTGGGTGCGCGCACGTCACGCAGAAAGTGCCGCGAATGACGTCAGGATGCCAACACGTTATGTACGTGGTAAAGCAACACCTTCACCCTTCCCCGGGCTCATTTGAAAATCGCTACGCGTCTTGAACACTGGCGACGATAACGAACTCGAAACCGGCCGAACGTTGAACCTCTCTGCTAATGCTCAAAGTGACACACGTTCGTTTGCGCAGACGTTCAAATAGAATTTTCGTTGACGGTATAACGTTGACACGACCCGAATGTCTAATCGAACGAGCTGTCATCTACCACGGTGTACACGAATATATGAAAGAAGAAGAAATAATTTATGTATAAATAAATAATAAATAAATAAATAATTTATGTATAATTTATGTATAAACGATTGTTACGGGATCGTTGCAGAGATACGAGTGGTTTTCCCCGATATTGAGATATATCACTGAAAATCTCCATTTTTTTTTTTTTTTTATTGTAATCAACATAGAGATTGCGGCTTC